ATCAAATCTTTAGAAGAGATTTACTTGTTTTCTTTGCCTATCAAAGTAAGAAGGGCTCTTAAACTCTTGTATTCTATCAATTCAAAATTAGGGGCAGCTGGTGCAAATACCTCTCATCTAGCTTTGCGTGAAATTCAATAAACAAACCAGCCAGAACTTTAGTTTAAACTTAAAGCAACTCTGATAAGTGCAGTTTATAATTGAAGACAGATTTTAAAAAGTTTTGGTTTCTTTTGTTGCATACTAATATTAGACTTTCATCTAAATAAGTTAATATATAAATATTATTTTTTTCATATAAATAATAAATGTAGAATTTTCAGGAGTATGAACATCTGGTAAAAACTAAAATGGATGATGTGGTAGAACCCTGAAATAACAAGTTAAGAAGGCCACAGTTAAGACAAAGGGGTACTTTGAAAAATTGTTAGATTGTAACATTAATTTCGAATGAAAGAGTTTACATGAATGTGTTTGTTTTCAGCAAAAAGAAAAAGTTCAAGAAATTAGTGGACCTTAAAGAAAATTAAATGGAAACTTTAGTGTTTAAGAGGAATACATGGTTCAAGTGTTAAACAACTTTTAGTAAAAACTGTGACACCTAAGATACTTAATATATTTGAGGGATGGCAAAGGACCACCTTGGATCATTGTGGCCATCCCTTTCAGTTTTCGTCAAAGCCCTGACTTTTGAAGTACTTGTCAAGCCCCTTCTTGACCTCTCCCAGTCCTGTTACTTCTACCCCATCTGAAGGCAATCTGTTCCATAGGTGAAGTCCTATGTTTTGAAAAATATAATTGTCTATTTTACAGGCATCTTCTACTATACCAAATCTTATGTCTGTGTTTCCTTGCCCTATCACTCTTATCATTAAACACACAAACTGATATTCAGTCTTGTCTATTCACCACTTTATGGAAATCAACTCAGTAGTATTATGGAATAAAGGTTCGTGGTGTTTTGGTCAGTCAGTCTTAAGCCTTCCAGACAGTTGGTTGTTGGCAGTTAGAAATCAAATGGGATTTGGAGTTGTAATCTACAGGAATACTGAATAATAGTTAAAGAAAGTTATTTCTTGTTCAGATCTCTGGTTAGGCTTCATTTAGAGTATTATGTTCAGTCTTAGACTCTTAAGAAGGACATTGAGTTGTTGGGAATTAAGGGTTCAAAAGAGGGCTACTAGGATGGTTCCTGAGATGAAGGGGTTGTCATATGAGAACAGGTTAAAGTTCTTAAAATTATTTTATCTTGAGAAAAAAACAGTTAGAGGAAGAGGGATATGATTGGAGTGTTCAAAGTTATAAAGGGAATGGATATGATTGATACATAGTATTGTTTACATGTTTTACAGCAAAGTGGTAGGGCTGGGGAACATACATTTTAGAGTTGTAATAGATTGCTTTCAGACATGATAGATGCAACAAGATTTGGAGAGTTCAAGACAGAGTTTGATAAGAACTTAGAAATTCAGAGATGGATATAAGTAGATGGGTGTTTGTTGAAATGAATGGCACAGT